CCAAGTAATTTCCTATGTTATCCTCAAAAATGTTGAAAAATAAGTATATTTTAAGTTTTTTAAAAGGGAGGAACCGTAACTAGATATAAATTAGCATCTTATTTTGTCTGAAGTTTAAGATACATTAAATTTTATAATTACCTTTGTTTTAGTTGTTAGCATTAATAGAAGGGAGAGGGGCAAGTTGTCTTCCCCGAACATACTCCATTTGAAAGCAGGGAGGAGCAGCACAGGAGAAGTCAAGCAGCAGTTCAGCTGAATTGTCTGTGTGATGGTTGGAGGAACCTAGTGTCCTCACACAGACTGTAGTTACTTTTGTTGGGTTGGTTTAATTGGAAGGATGTCCCTTAGCTAAAGCCCTTCTGCCAACAAGTGCAGTTTAGTTATGAGAAGTCTCTGGCCCTGACCCCAGACTTGCAAGGTTCCAGGGATAGGAATTAAACAAAATTGAGGGTGTGAATTTAGATTATATCCTAAGTTTAGCAACTAAAGAAGTTACAGAAGGTAGTTTTGGGGATTAAATACCTCTTAATTGCTTATAACCCTTAAATGGGAACAGAGACCATCTCGTAAAGGTTACACCAGGCCAGAAATGGCATCTGCCCTCAAAAACAACCAGTAGACTAATGGAATTCAGATTATAGATTAGAATTTTATAGCATAGTTAGTTGTCCGTTATGGTTAGGGAATGGTTAGGGGAAATTGAAGCTTTCAGATAATTTTAGCTGTTTTTGATGGTAATCCTTTTGACCATATGATGTTCTTGCTCAGTTAATAGAGTACATTAATCATAATTTAATATTTTTGCTGATCACGTATATATATGGTAGTTGCAGTTTATGGGATGTAAAATTAAAAGGATATGCATCCTAGGAGATACCCAGGAAAATACAGTTCAGAAAATCATTTACTTGTACCTAGTACAAGTTTAGTGATATGTAACTGTTGAACCTATAGGACAGTATGACCTCGCTGGCTTTCTGCAAAGTAAATTATTGAATCAACGATTGAAGTAGCGTTTTCTTCAGTGGATTTTTTTCGTAAAATCATCTTTACTGTAATCTGTGTTCCTTGACTTGTCATCAACACTGAGAGCATTTTCTTTTCATTTTCTCTCATTAACATAATGAATCATATTTATTTCTTGGTCAGTTGTAAGTCATTCTTCTATTCCACTTGGATTGTTCATTTTAAGTGAAGGAGGCATAGCCTTTAATGTGCAAATATACATTTTTTAAAATAATGATGGGCTATATCTAACTCTAGAGCTTGTAAATTCTTTAACATTATAAGAAATTTTAGCAAACATAAGGTTAAGTAGTTAAACATAAACTTAAACAGAGTTTTAGTAAATATTTGATTTTATCGGAAGTCCAGGCATACCAAAACACTGAAAACTCTGTTAACACCCACATAGTGAATCCATTTAAAAAAACTTTAACTCACTTTGAACTCTGAAAGCTATTTGTCTACAGAACAGCCCAGGTGATAATAATATCACCTCTTACAACTCTGCATTGTTCTTGGATTCTCTACAGTTGTTTAGCTCTCCTCAAGTAAATCTATGCTTCTGAGACATTCTTTTGCTTCGGGTAAAAAAATAAAAGCAAAGAAAAATCATTTTGTCTGTCAGTCCATAAGCTTTATAAGCAGCAAGTAAATACTTTGATTTGGTTTGGGTTAGATGTCATATAAGGATAAATGGTAGTGAGCTACATGTTCAAGATGGGTAGGAAGAAGTCAAGGGCAAGTAGGTTCATGGATGGGGGTGAGGTTTAGTGAGGGTTTCAGTACCAGGTGGTTCATATCAACGTTAAAGCTTGATGTTCCTAAGGGTTCAGGCAAGTTTGGGGTTGCAAAGATAGGCAGAGGGCTTAAAACAGCAAGTGTGGCCAAGACTAGATAAATGAAGCAGGTACTCCTCAAGAATGGAATTCCAGAAGGGTGCTTGAAATGTTAGTATATTCATTGAGGACACATAATTGATTGTATACCCAACTTAATAGTCAGTCTTACTGAGAAGTTGTACACTGTGAAGATGAGGAAAGTTAGAACATTTTGGGGAGAAAGAATGAGGGAGTGGGAGGGAGGGTAAGTTTATGACAGGAATCTTATGGATTCAGCACCTGCAAAAAAGTCATTCTGTTCCTTTTCAGTTTAAGATCTCACACACTAGCAGCTGCTGGGATAGAAACTAGAAGGCAAGGCCAAAATAGATCAGTTTTGTAAGATTATTGAGGATAGAGAGAAAAGTTTGTAAAAACTCTGAAGTTGGCTACAGCTTAGTGTTTTTGTTTTAACTGAGTAACTTATGACTGAAAAGTCAAAGCCATTAGAAAGTACATGTAACTCAGTCAGCTGAATAAATGTTATATTTTTCTATTTAACATGGCCTAGAGAAAGGAGTCTTCAAAACTTTTTTCTTAAAATACTCTTACTAGATACTGATCCTTATGTTCTAATTTAGTTGTGAACCATGTGCAATGATGTTGACCTCTGTGATTCAACATGAAAAGAATTTAACCAGCTGCCCTTGCTGAATCTTTTGTCATGTCTCCTGAATGCATGGTAAATTGTTTTTATTTTCTTGAGACCTCAGGTTTCTGCCGACATCAGTTTTCTCTTTCAGAGTTAAACTCCCCAAAGCTTTGCTTTTCAGTAGAATAGGTTGGATATTTATTGGATAGTATCTACAGTATATATACACCTTGCTGTTCAGCTGCTTCTATATTCTGTCCTACTACTATGATATACCATATACCCTTTTCAGTTACTTGAGGGTGTTTAGATCAGGGTTGGCACTATGGCCCACCTGCTTTTTGTAAATAAAGTTTTGTTGGAACACAGTCATGCCCATTTGTGTATATATTGTCTGTAGCTGCTTTGCCTTACAACAGCAGAGTTGGGTAGTTGCAACAGAGATATATAGCTGGTAAGCTTAAAATATTTGCTATCTGGCCCTTTAAGAAAAAGCTTTTTGACCATTGTTCTAGATCAGTGTTTATCAAAACTGTGGTGCCCAGATCATCAACCTTAGCATCACCTGGAAACTTGTTAGAAACACATATTCTTGGACGTACCACCCCAGGCCTACCAAATCAGAAGTTCTGGGGATGGGGGCCAGCAATTTGTGTTTTAAGAAGCCTTTCATGTGACTCTGACGCACATTAAAAGTTTGAGAAACTCTGTTCTGGATAAATGTTTTCCAAATGTAAATCACATATATCACCTGTACTATTTTTTACCCTGTTTTCTTTTTGTTTAATTTTTTATGTCAGCTCACTTTCTGAAAATTTAAGCTAATTTTAAAATGAAAGTTTATGTCACCAGAAAAATAAATACAATGAAAACAACATGGTGTTATGAGATAACTAGAGTCTGTTGTCACTTACCCTATGCTAAAAATTAGAACTCATTAGCTGTATTAAGTACGTACTAAGCACCAAGTGGAAACTTTTTTCTTGCCTTAATCATGATAAATAATCACTAGTGATTGAGTGGTGTTTAAAATGTCATGTTGGTGAAATCATATAACATCTAAAATTATTTTTTGTCCAAATCCTGTACTTTAGGAAATACTGTATTAGTTGCTCATACGGAAGGAAAGCTGCTTGAACTGTATATACCTAAGCCACTGGGTAGAAATGACTTTTCCTTAGAAATAGACAGAAATACACACCCATGAGATGGAGAGATATAGAAGTCCCCAGAGAGGTCCATCTAGACTTCTAGGATGAAATTACGTATTTAGCTTCATCTTACCTTTCCATTAATGTTTTGGTCCATGGTGGTCAGCAATTCTGCAGGATTTCACCAACTTCTTCCACAGTGGGATTGTGAAAGGTACTGGCTGTGAGAAAAGCTGATTATCAAAGAAAACCCCTGGACTAGAAACTGGGGGGAAGTGCTGTGATTCTGCATTATGGACCGGAACCAGCAAGGCATGCTTACTAGAAAAACAGTTGATTCACCTCAGATTTTAGAATTTTGAGAAATTCTGGTATGAAAATAAATCAAATGATTTAATTTGCCTCATAGTATTAGAGGGAATACTTCCCCAGACATGGTGTTCTGATGCTGGCCGATGTGTTTTAGGGTGTAGTAATTGATGGGAGTAGAACCTGAGTATCCCTAGGTTGCTGAGTTGCTTCACTTTTTTTCTTGCTTTCTTTTTCTTAGAGATTATGGACGTACTTGCTTCTGTTGTCGTTTGACTCTGCAATAAAGTAGTGACATAGGACTCTAATTCTCGAGGGACTGAAAGTCCAGTAGGGAGTGAAGATTGCACATGAACAGTTACGTTTATTTTTAAGTGATAAATTCTGTGATACTGATTGCATATAGGTGTCTAATTTTGAAAAAAGTTTTTTAAAAAATATAAAAGACCACCAAACACCTATAGGAGAACAAGTGTTATTTGTTCATTAAGTAAAGTGTTACAAATGAAGTCGCTCATCTTCTCCTTCACAGTTTCAGTCCTTTCCCCCAAAGGCAATTCTTGTGACTATGTCACGGTTTTCCACGGTTTTCCTGCTCTGTTGTTTCAATAGTTGTAAGGCTCAGTCTCCTTCATGGTAATCTCTGTTTTTCATTTTAACTTCCTTTATCATTGAGTCGTCTGTTGCCTCTGTCCTTTGATATTCTTATTTATTTTTCCTTTTTATTTCTTCATTAGTTTTAGATTGGGGAGGCTCTGCTTAGCGTTTATAGCTATCACCAACTATGGAGAACTTGTCTCTTTAATAGACAAATCAGCCAATTACTTTTTCTTTGGTTCTTTTCAGCTATTTCCTCATAGCCAGAGATAGCTTTCGTTACTTCTAATTTTGTGTATAAAAAGTTCTGGATGATAGAAGGCACCAGATATCCAGAGTAGGAGTGTTATTGTATCAGAATTGCAGCTCTGCAAGTAAGTATCAAAATATGAAATTTAGCAGGCTGCAACTTTTTAATGACTGACTTCCCTTTATGACATATACCATAAAACAAATTGTATATAATCCACTTTTAGGACTAAATTTGTGGGTAACTGTTTATTCTAATGTGTGTCTTAAATCTAAGAGGAGGAATATGTTGATCTCCTAACGCATATATCCCCCTGGAAGAAATGTGATGGCATTGAGCCCTGCCAGTGACCAAGATTCTGTGCTTGTATAATGAGGGAAGATAGGGTTGTGGCAGGGGTGGAATAGAGCCCTTGGAATGTAGCTACTTCAGTATTTCTTTCTGCACATTTCCTTCACCATTCTGTTAGCTCTTAAAGACCCTGAGCTTTTCGTCCTGTTACCAAGGCTGTTTCCCAGTCTCATTCCTTATAATTTTTTATATGGATTTTCATAGACAAGTAGGCTGATAGATTTAAAAAATTATTTTAGCATTATTAATCTTTGGTCATATTCAGCAAGAATGAACTTGTTTTGGAAATTTCTTCTGCAGTGGGCATTGCATTTTTAAAATGTCGGGCTTGTCATGGTGATTGTGGTGGGGGTGATATTGGTACCTATTTGTAATGATAAACCTGTAGGACCATATGAAAGAATTAAGAGGGATGGCCTTTCAGTACCCTTATTTTTTTGCATTTTCTGGGGGAAAGGAAAGCCTCTACTAATACTCAGTATGATTTTATAAGTTCTGTTAGAAAGAATGACTTGATATTACATTTGGAAGGGAGAATGCCTTAATTAGTTTTTCCCGCTGCCATCTTTGGCTGAGTATTTTTTCTTTCCCTTTGTAATAAATGTATTCCTGAAAAGTTTGACATGTATCGAGTCCTATTAAATGTTTTCAAAGCATCAGTAATCATATAATGTTAAGACATGGTAGTGAATCTTTTCATAAAATAAACCCTATACTTTGTACTATATAAATATACAATGAATTAAACTGTATTTATTAACAAGGTAACATGGAGTAATAAGAGTTTTTTCTTTTAAGGTTATTATAAAAGGGTTCTTATAGGTGAGCTTTAGGCTAAATTCTAAAGGAACAACAAAGGTAGGTGGGAGATGTTAGTGGATTTGGTGAGACTACTGGAGGAGTGTGTAAAAATGATCGAATTTGTTCTTTACTATAATAGTTACAGTGAAGCAGTAGCTTTTATCTTGGTTCCACGTGAAGACATAGGGGTTTACTTGTCCATATGAAGACATGTGTTTACTGTACAGGACAGGTCTCTTCCTGCTCTGTTACTAGACTAGAAGTTGGTCTTTATATAGTTCCCACATTATTATGTGGAGTCCTAGCTTATGTTGTAGGTAATAAGAAGGTGGAACATTTGAAGATTTGAGGGCACAGGGAAATGAGAAGCTTTAGGCTTATTCACTTCTCTTTCTAGCTCTGGCTTTCCTTTCACTGAGAGGGTATGGAATTTATTTCAGAGGAAATGTGCCTGCCCTGTCCCAAGCCAACAGTGACACGTGGCCCCTAACAAGTATGCCTGTGGGGAGGGCTTTGGTTGTCACATTGGAGAATGTGGGAGAGCTTTTCCTCTTCTGGCCCCATTTATAAACTAGGATGCTTCCATTTGCTTTGTGTGCTGTTGAGTTTTCTCTTCTCTGTTTTCTCTAAGCTAAGCTCTTAGCTGATTCTGTACAAAAGAAATACTAGTTGTTTTTATAAATTGCTTGCCATTAATGCCTGATAAAATGCGGTAAAATAAGGATTCTGCATACCATTATATATGTCAAATATTACAAAGTTTAAGGTTCTTTTGAAATTACAATACTAAACTCAGTTCACTTTTGCTTAGCCTTCACAGTTGTTGATCACATAGCATGGTCATCCACTCACAGCTTAAAAAAATACAGGGAGCATCGGAGAGAATGGGTAAAGTAAAATTTTGATGTTTTTAAAATAGCACCTAAATCTATGAAAGTTGATTTGATTTATTGTTTGTATGGGTGGGAGAGGGTGGTTGGCGCTGGAAGGGAGGGGGTGGATATTGGGAAAATAGCATGCACCATGTAAAATGATGTCAGATACCATCTAGGCTAAGATTTTTAAGTGTTGCTACTATAGTTTAAGTCTGTTTCAGAAAGGGCAGGACCATAAAATGGCAGTGTTGGGATTTACAGTGGGTTTATCTTTCCCTCCCTACAGATTGAAGGGGATTTTGAGAATAGCAATATTTGAGTAGTTTGGACAGAAGCCTCCTTTTTAGAGTGGGCTGTCCATATTCCCTGAGTAAAACTGCCTCAGTAGCACCTCATGCTCTGTTAACGTGATTGAAAGACCTTGAGAGGAATAATATTTATTCTAGTTTTTATTGTATACCTGTGACTCAGGTGTTCTCAAATATAGGTTATGATTCGTGAAACTCATGAAGGGGTTAGAGAGTTGTTACTCTGAAGGTAGTTGCTTGGTAGAAAAAACATTAATAGAAATTTTGATGCTTCCATTCAGATGAAGAACACTTTTCCTTTCAAAGTTCTAAATCAAGTTTTTAATCTCAAATCTCATCATTATAGTTATGTACAAAGCCTAATTAATTAGTATTACGGAGGTCATAGAGAAGAGAGCCTGCCATGTTTTTATGGAGAGGGCATTTTGTTGTTGTGAACTCAAATAACTTGGTCTAATCTCCGCCCCATTATTTTTAAACTTTTTTCTTTGTTTACACATTTAAAATCTGGGTGCAGAAAAAATTAAATCAGATTTTACCCTAAAAATATTATTCTTGCCCCAGCTTTGCTATTCCCCTACATGAAGCCATTTGCCAAAGCCAGATACGACTTACTTATTGTTTCCCAAACCTTCCTGCCTCTATAAGCTTTGTCAAAGGTATTACCGCCAGTTTGGAATGCTCTTCTTTCCCCTTTCCTTTGGTCTAAGTCCTGTCTTTCCTTCAAATAATGGCTTCTACTCATTGCATGAAGCCTTCTCTAACCTCTTCAGTCCTTGGTGGTCATTCTAGTCTTAGAATTGCTGAAGTACTACTATTTGGTAGTATTTCATCCATTACAAACATTCATCTGGCACTTGGATCATGCTTCCTTTTGTTATTACTTGTTACTGCATTTAAATATCCTGTTTCTATAGGAAAATGAGGGGCTCCTTGAGGGTAGAGAGCTTGTCTTAAATGCCTCTTTGTAATCCCATTGCCTAGCACAGAGGATATGTTCAGTATTGGGCTTGATTCTATTATTTGGATCCAATATTAGTGTAACAGAGCAATTGTTCTTTTAACTTAGGTTATTTTTATAATGAATATATACCCAGAAAACCCAAAGATAAAGTACATTGAATTAATAAAGTAATTCCTTGTATTACAAGGAGATTTGGTTCATATTTGTTTCTTATTAATTATAGTTCCCCCCTCCCCCCTCCTTTGTTTTTTAGTGGGTGCTGTTTTACCTAGTTTCTTTTGAAAAACATGGTTTGGGCCAGATATATTGACAGTCTATATTACTAGTATTTTTATTTTAAAATTCTTTGTTGGTTTAGCCAGATTATACTTTCATGGCTTAAGCCCAAATAAAATACATTTATTAAATACTGTATGGTAATATAGTCAAATTATTTTAAAATGTTAACCTTAAAGTCTCTCAAGTAAAATTTAAAAAATATCAATAAACATGTTCAGTTGCTAGTCCCTCTCAGGGTATTTCTGTATCTCAAATTATTAGGAATTTTATTATTTCATTGTTACAAAGATTTCTGTACTGTACAGGCTGATATTTGATAGCTGTATTTATTGTGTTTGCTGCAGTTATCAAATGTTTATAGAGCAACCATTCGTATGTAGTGAGGAGTTATTTAAAAATACTTTTTGGCATTTATAGAAACTGACACTTAAAGGTCCTCAGGGATAATTTTGCTTAATTCATATTTGGAATTGTTCTCATTTTATCTGGTAGCAGTGTCTTCAAGGCACATATGTCTTAATATTAGATTTATGTCGTGATTTCAGAGGAAATGTTTGACTAGTAAAACTTCGGAGAATCTTGATTTTAGTCGAAGGCCTGGCTTGTCATATTCTTGAGCCATTAGTTTGACAAAGCACTGAAACAATACTGCTGTTGCATTATGGAAAAACTTAGAAACTTGTAGCTGGGAGACTTCTAGATACGTAAGGTTTTTTTCCTTCAAAAATTTGTATTATCTTTAAATTTCTTAGCATAATTTGGGTACATGTGAGAAAGCAAAAAGCCTCTAATAAAGCATTGCCATTCTGGTATGAGCTCATCAGAGTACCATCCTGACATGAGCTTAAGGCCCTCACCAAAGTCTTGATGAAATATACTTTATAAAAAAACATTTTTCAAAACCCCAGTTTGCCCAAGGACCACTTTACAGAGCTCCAGCCTTGGACTTTTACCTGTGATCAGTCATATTCTTCTCTAGGGTTACACTTGTTAAGTCAATATTTTAGAACAAAACAAAACAAAAAACCCTGATTTTGTTCACTTTTGTTTTCATATACAAGAATCTTTACAGTCAACATGTACTTCTAGATGCTATATTGAAATTGCTGGCAGAGTCTATTCTATACAGACTGAACAATCTGGCCCCTTGTTTTATTTGTAAAGGTTCAATGTATCTATGCCTGCCTACTTCAGTCTGCAAGGGAGTGTCAGAAAGGCCCCGCATTCGCCGAGCCGTGAGTTATCACTAACTTTTCAGATGTGTTAATGAATGTGGAACAAAAGCAGTTGTGTTTAAAAGGAAAAAAGGACCATCAAAATAACCTTTATTATAGTAGCAGGCGTGAACACTAAATTAATTATTCCAAATTGTGGTGTCAAAAATAACCTACTTTAACTAGAGACTAGCCTCTAGAAAACCTATTGTTGAACTGCTCTGAAGCTATCATTTTAGCTATAAATTACTATTCTTAAAATTTTATAAACCTGGTTGTAAATTAATATGTTCTTTAAGTCTTTTTAACCAAATTAAAACAATTTGAACAAAATCTTACCCCTCCTAAAAATGATAGTATTTAGTTGACTTTGAGTTAAGCTCTTCAAAATAAGACCATGTGAAAGGGGTAAAGTTTTAACCTTTTTTGTTATTCACATGTGAAAAACAAATTAATTTAGATAATTGAATCACTTCATAGATGAAAGTTTTTAGTTCAGTGGTGTTTAAAGTCTATTTTGGTACCAACAGTTCTCGCTTCAGTAATTCACCAGTAGGTTTTCATTCATCAATGACGATATCAGTTTAAGGCTAAAAATAAAACACGTTCATTTCCTAGGGCTTATCATTTTACTTAGAGGAAATGTCCTTAAGAGTCCCCCCACCCCCCAAAGAGATTCTAAGCAAAAAAAATGTAATAACATCTATATTTTGTTAATATAGTTACCTTTCTTTTTCTTAGATTCTTTAAAGTTTTGAGTAGATAGGCATATTTGATTAGGTTGGGTGCTTCTGTTGCTTAGGAGGTGTATTATGTTAAATGAAGACAGAATGAATTTAAATGTACCCGGTTTGGCCATATATAGCACAGACTACATAAAACTTGGAGGTGTGGGACCTTTGGAGGCATTAAAGTTAACATTTCATTTAGGCAGTATGCCTTTGTTTGACTGGTGTGTAAGTCCTTCTTCCAGGTTTGTACGCTCTTAAACACGTTATTCTACCCTCTCTAACTCCTCCCAGCAGCAAAAGGGAGACACTTCAGCTGGAACAAAATAGTGGAAGAAATGGCGTCTGGGGTTCAGTGGGGATTCGCAGTGTGTATGCAATGTTTGCAAGATTACTTTTTATGTTTTTCAATTAATGTAAATAATTAAAATATAAATCAGTGCTTAGTGTCAAGTAGGGAACATTGTATACCAGTAGAAATTCTCCTAGTGGGCCTGCTGCAAGTCACTTAACCTCTTGGGGCCTCAGTTTCCTCATCTGCAGTATGAAGGAGTTGGACTCGATAATCTTTAAGGTCCATTCCTGCTCTACATGCTATGCTTTTCTGAAGTACTCTGTTTAACAGAATGCATTGCTTTCCCACTTTGACTATTTGAATTACATGTGCAGTACACATACTGCAACTGCATGTTGTCTAAAATAGTTTTTCTGTAGGATATTATATAAAAACTAACCCCTGTTGAGCTGATTTATAAATGTGTGTGTGTATAGCCACACATAAAAAGCTAGTGATGGTAGGGCTCTCAGAAAATAAATATTTTCCAGTTGTCTAACCTTGAATGTTATTAACTTTCCTCTATTACAGGAGATACTACTCGTCAACGAATCAAATTCAGTGATGACAGAGTATGCAAGAGTCACCTTCTGAATTGTTGCCCCCATGATGTCCTGTCTGGAACTGTACGTGTTTATTAAATCTATTGTTTTGTTATTGGTATACTACAAAAACAAACTATTTGATAGTCTTAATTTCGTGTCACATTATTATGCAGTGATTTTTTTTTTAAACACTTGTTAGCGCAGCAGTTTGCATCCCTTATATTCAGGTTGATAATTTAGATCTGCAATAATTGGATTCCTCACAAAAATGATTGCTGAGTTTTACTTTATAATTTTTTCCATTCTTCAGAGCAAGCTTTTAAAAAGCATTTCTTATTTGAAACATAGAGGCAGTTATTATACAGCAGTTGCACTTTTAGTTTAGAAATAATATAAATGATTTTTTTGTTGTTTTTGGTACGCGGGCCTCTCGCTGTTGTGGTCTCTGCTGTTGCGGAGCACAGGCTCCAGACGCGCAGGCTCAACGGCCATGGCTCACGGGCCCAGCCGCTCCGCGGCACGTGGGATCTTCCCGGACCGGGGCACGAACCCGTGTTCCCTGCATCAGCAGGCGGACTCACAACCACTGCGCCACCAGGGAAGCCCTGTAAATGAATTTTTTAATTGTTTACTTCACTGTTGAGCAGAGTAGACTTTCATCCAAAACAGTATACATTTTTATTAAGATTTGTGCACATTTGAATGTGGAAATCATTGTGGGGAAAATATACTGGTAGATACTTAAATTTACACAATTTGTGAGTATTGTTGTCGGTTAAAATTCACTTATATTGCTTACTCCTAATGATGTAAAGCTCACTTAATTTAAGTTCTATACCTAGTGATGTTGGTTAATCTTAGAACATCATTTTAATTTGGTAGATAAATCACATGATGATGGACCTATTTAAATGGGACAGAGGATTTGATTCCCTGGCTTTTGGATTTGATTGAAATGATAACTCACTTTCAAGAGCTTCCATTCACAAGGATAGCAGAGGAGGGCTGGTAGGGCCTAAACATTTAGCTGACTTTGTCATTTGTCTGAAATGAAGAAAAGATTTCAGACTTCCATTTGCAGAAGCAATGAGTTCCCTTAATTAAAGATGTCTAAATTAGTGGTTTCTTCTTCTTTTTTTTTTGGCCGTGCCACCAGCCATGGAACCCGTGCACCCTGAAGTGGAAGCTCAGAGTCTTAGAGTGGTTTCTTCCTTGATAGGAGGAGTTAAATACCCCAAATACATAAGTATCAAGGCATTATTGATCGAAAACACCACTTTTTCCAATAGTGAAGACCGTCGAAACTATATTATGTTAAAAGGAATAGAAGAGCTAACATTTAAAAAATATGTAATACTTAAATTTTTTTAAGTATAATATTGAAAGGGAAGACATCCAGTTTCTGAGCACTTGAATTAGGACTGTGACAGATAATTAACCCTCATATCTGCTCTTCAGAATTTCCATAATTAAAGTATTTTCTACTCTGCTATAATACAGTTGAAATCTATAATATTAGTAATTATCTGTAGTATTATATGATTCTTCACATTTATTATTAAATTTAACATTTAATGATATATTTAAGGCTAAATTATCACTTCACATGAATTTTGAGGATAAGATTAATTGATAAAATGGTAGAATTTAAATTTTTAGTACTTTAAAACCAGCCATAGCAAGACTTTGACATATTATTATATTCTTCAGGTATGGCATTAATAATAATGAAAAAAATCTGACATCACAATTGTACTTTTACATTTTATAATGTATACAGTGCAGTCACATTCATTTATTTTTCAAAATAATTCTTTTGGGTGTATATTCCATAGTTAGCCTTAATGACAGTAAAGTGATTTATTCAAAATTATTTAGTTGTATTGATTTAAGGTAAAACTGGAACCAAACCCAAATTTTCTGAGCTGTAGTTTTATTCAACATGTTTTCTACTCTGTAGGTAATACTTAATCCTTCATCAAGTTAAATAAGGATTAGTGTTGGTCTTGGACTTTCCTTCTTATAAAATTCTTGCTGGTGGATTTAGAAGCACATTTTTTCAAATTTTAATATCTCTGAAATATGCATCTTAAAATTGATGATAGAAAAACACTATTTTAATTTGTAACATTTTTCTTATAGTACAGAATTTAATGATGAGGCTTAAAATTGATGGTGTCTTGGATCACATGAAAAACAGTTAAGGAAAGCCCTTGGAAAGGCACTTGCCAGGGAAACTCTGTATGAGAAATATCTCCTTTTTGTCATCTTAATAGGCAAGAGATTGTCATATGTAAGGATGGGGTTAAGTGGTTGTGAACCTCTTAAGCAGAGTTTTAAGGGCTGGCTCTAGGACTTTGTAAGAGTCCAAGGTTGTCACAGTGTGATGTCCTTGAGAACTTGAAATCATCCACAGAGTGACTTTCTCATGACCCTTATTACTAAAAAGGGCTATTTATAACAGTTTATCCTATGTACAAATGGTTTGTAATTACAGAGCTCAGACTTCTTTAGCATCCAGTCTCTGTAGAACACACGCTGTTCTGGCACGGAATCTAATAGTTCACACTTCTGTGTGTTGAAGATGCTTGTTTATTTATTTATTTTTGACGTTAGATCAAGGATGAAAAGAACTAAATTGTAACTTTTTATAATGCTTTTTCTTTGTTATGTAACTGAAGGTTGCCCTTTAGTTTTCCAGACCTTGTTCCTCAGATCTGTCACTTCCAGCAGAATATGACTCATCAATATTCTGGATTATTTAGCAGAATAATACACAGAAATATATTCTTTGGCTTATTATTATTATAAAAAGGTTGAACTTTATACCGAGCACTTGGAGATGAAGAGTATCGTTTCTAAAAATATACTCATAACTGACAGTATGGAATATTTTTGGAATTCAGCTTTTTTTAAAAATAAATTTATTTATCTTTATTTATTTATGTTTGGCTGCGTTGGGTCTTCATTGCTGCTTGCAGGCTTTCTCTAGTTGCGGTGAGTGGGGGCTACTCTTCATTGTGGTGTGCAGGCTTCTCATTGTGGTGGCTTCTCTTGTTGCAGAGCATGGGCTTTAGGCGTGCAGGCTTCAGTAGTTGTGGCTCACGGGCTCAGTAGTTGTGGCACACGGGCTTAGTTGCTCTGCAGCATGTGGGATCTTCCCGGACCAGAGATAGAACCCTTGTCCCCTGAATTGGCAGGCGGATTCCCAACCACTGTGCCACTAGGGAAGTTCCTGGAATTCAGCTTGATGAAAATGCCCCTGTAACATTTTACCATTCTTTAGTCTGGTACTCTGGTATAACTAACTTTTTTTTTTTTTTAATTTTATATTGGAGTATAGTTGATTTACAATGTGTTAGTTTCAGGTGTACAGCAAAATGATTCAGTTATATGTATATCCATTCTTTTTCAGATTCTTTTCCCATGTAGGTTATTCTGCTATAACTGACTCTTAAGCTAACAAATTAATTAGAGGAGGTAAAATGTAGAACAGAGAATCAAAATAATTGTGTGTATATGTATCTTTAGATTATGGTTTTTATAAGAAGCATGAATATTTCTATAATTAGGAAGTTTTTGTGTTTCAAAGGCATGGATTATTTTCCTGTTCATCCAGAATTTTTTGTTTTAGTCTCACTCTTCTCCTCCTTTGGAACAATTAGTTTTCTCCCTCTTCTATTTACCATGCAGAAAGTAGACAGCATCCCCTTTCAGATTTAGGCAAAACAAAAAACCTAAGTACAGTTGTCCCCCCGCCCCCCCAAAAAATGAACCACATTATTTCTGGCACATATATTCCCTAAGGAAAGATAAGTATATTGAAGTGCTTAAAAAAAAATCTTTCCATCTAGTTCCTAGTGATCTAGGAAAAGGATATATGATAGTAATAATTTACAGAAGGCATTAAATCTAAAGCAGAAACTTGAGATTAAGATCTGCAGAGATGGAAATATATACTCTCATAATGCATCTATCCTAAATTCAGAAGTGGCCACTACTAATTCGTATAGCCTTCATCATAGTATAATTTTAGTGTTGACAGGCCATCATGTTTTCTAGTGTAAGGCCATCATTTTTTTTTTAACATCTTTATTGGAGTATAATTGCTTTACAATGGTGTGTTAGTTTCTGCTTTATAACAAAGTGAATCAGCTATACATATACATACATCCCCATATCTCCTCCCTCTTACGTCTCCCTCCCACCCTCCCTGTCCCATCCCTCTAGGTGGCCACAAAGCACTGAGCCGATCTCCCTGTGCTATGCAGCTGCTTCCCACTAGCTATATGTTTTACATTTGGTAGTATATTTAAGTCCATGCCACTCTCTTACTTCGTCCCAGCTTACCCTTCCCCCTCCCTGTATCCTCAAGTCCATTCTCTATGTCTGCGTCTTTTTTGTTTTTGTTTTTGTTTTTTGCGGTACGCGGGCCTCTCACTGTTGTGGCCTCTCCCGTTGCGGAGCACAGGCTCTGGACGCACAGGCTCAGCGGCCATGGCTCATGGGACCAGCCGCTTCGTGGCATGTGGGATCTTCCTGGACCCGGGTACGAACCTGTGTCCCCTGCATTGGCAGGCGGACTCTCAACCACTGCGCCACCAGGGAAGCCCTGGCCATCATTTTATATAGATAGAAAAATTAAGGTTCAGAGAAATTGTCTTTGTCAGATGTCTCACAAAAGAATCACAGTATATTATACCACACAGGAATCTTAGGGTTATTTTAATCCGAATACTTTTAAAAATGTTTTTTGTTGTGTTGTTAGTTTTTTTAGATAACACAGTTACCTAAGACAGTGACTTTAAGATGTTTCTGAAATGTCCTTAGAGGTACCTCATTCACTGAGGACCTGGGGACAGGCCAGTCTTTCCTATTTTGATGGGAATTTTTACACATTTTAAATACAGGGATTTTTCCATGACATTTTGTTTTTATAAAGAGAGCCTGCAGCTCTGAAATAGAATTTAAGAAAAGCTGACATTGTGAAATACTTAGGGACAGGAATATAGTAAAATTTTATCTGCCTTTTGAAGTGATTGGATGGGAGTATTTATTGGTTGTCAAAAATCCTGAGTTGA